TACAAACTGAGAATGTGATTTTTCAAGGTACTTTGCTATTTGGTACTTTGGTATTTTGCTACCTTTTCACATCATTAATAAAGTACTACAGCAGCTCTTTATAAGAGACTTTATGAATTTCAGTAATTGCCATTCCAATTAAACATTATTTACAGGTAAAAAGTTCAGATTAATATTTGATTACATTAATATAGTATATTTGAAAGTGTACTTTTAAGCTTATTATATGGATGGGATCGTACTTTTCAAAGGACCAGGGTAACGTGTTGCCAGTTTCAAATTAAAGAACTGCATGTTTTAAAAAAAAGAAAAAAAAAAAGAAAAAAGAGAAAAGTTTATAATCATGGGCCAACATTGGGCCAAAAATGAACACACAGAACAAGTGTGACACCACAGTATTTTCTTTTTATTTTTTATTATTATTATTACTTATTTGATGCATTCATCATCATTTTGTGTCCTCAACAAAGAACGGACAGCATTTACAAAGTCTGAATATCAACACACTGTGACAGCTTTCTAGCAAGGTGGCAGAAAATACAAAGAATACATCTGGATCTCCATGTTACACAACTTATTTCAAGGCTGCTTGCTCTTTCATTGTTTGAAACTGTATGTTTCAAGGGCATTGGGTTTTGGGGTGCAACAGGATAACACAAAGACAAAATTAAGCCAGAATGTGTCTTCACTAGCCTTCTAGAAGCTGCACTTAATGCCACGCAAGAAAGGAAGCAGCTCTGACGTTGATCAGTGATTACCTTGTTCTGGCTGTCATTTCCAGCACAAACAGATGCTAGTTGTGCAGAAAAGTAGACACACAACTTTAGTGGAGCCCATTAAACCCTAGTGTCCCCATCTCCTATGAAGAAAAGGCCCTGAGCAGCCTCAGACAACTTTGCAGTTATTTAAGCAGATGTTGGACTAGATAATTTCCAGATGTCCCTGACATCCTAAAACATTCTATGATAATGGAAACGAGAGGCAGAAACCAGGGGTTCACCGAAATATTTCCACAGATAAAAGCCTTTCCTTAGGAAGGACATCAGTGCTTACAATCCAGAAGAACATCTCCTTGTCTGAGGTTTGTCTCCTCAAAAAGACGCACCAGTTTACCTAGTTAAATCCATACAAAAGGTATGTGGGTCCCCTTACTTCATTTGAAATCAAGTTTAAATAGATCAGAAACAAGTCAAAACTAAGCCAAAACCATTCAATCAGTCTGAAATAAAAATCTCTTAAGTGACTTGTGCTCTTTTAATTAGAAAAATTTATAAACATACTGTAAGTAATCTTGCAGAACATTTAGACATACCTTAAATATCTATGCACAGACACCTTCAGAAAGACTCAGGATCTCCTTAAGGATTATTACAGGTTTAGAAAGCATTGCAGTTCTTTTAAATTTTGAGGTAGTTTTTCCATTTACAGATTTTCCTCATACAACAGATTAATTTGTGTTAAATGTTCGTATTTTGATACACCTTCAGCTGGTAAAATTTATATATGACTTCAGAATCTAAACTTCTGCAAAAATTTATTTTGCTCTTTATTTATCCAAGATAGAAATCAACACAGCTGGGCTGCAAGCTTCCTACATTTCTCCAGTTTAGTAAATTTTTTAAAATTAAATAAATAATTCAGGAAACAACCATTCTAATCACTGAAAGGAGCACTTTGCAATAGTGCTGTGGCAGTGCACTCTTATTACATTTTCCCTTTGAAAAGTACAACCCAAAAATACTCTAATTACGGCCTGCTTTCAGACCTGCAAAAACTGGTTCTACTAGTCGCAGGACTAAACCTCAACTTACCCATGGCCTGCATATCTTCTTTTTGCTTCTGGAACCTTGTCTTTTCCCTTGCTACTTTACTTTTGTTTCCTTGGGTATTTTGTTTAGCAGTAATCTCGTCCTCCTGATAGAGAATTCAGAGGGGGAGTGGAAAAAAAGAACATAGTATCTACAGTGAAATGACCAGCAACAGATATTCCCCATTTTTCAACAGTTCTCTAAAACAAGAATAAAAACAGGCTATAAGAGTTTCCCACAAACATACTAAGTACTCGGAGATCCTGCCTAGTAGTTGGCGGGGGGGAGAAAACCCAAACCTTTTTCTTCCAGCTTTCTTTTAAAACAAAGTACTTTAGAGCACTAAGCTTCTCTGTGTTTAAATACAGGCAAGTGACATAACTGTATCTGAGGGCAAGTGACATTAACTATATCTAAGAATACAAATTACATTTTTTTAGCAAATTATTTATTAATCATTCTCAAAGGGACAAGTACTCTATGCACCTTCACAACACACTGAAAAGCGTTTCTTGGTGGGATCACAAAACAAGAAAGATAAAAATAAGAAGATAACATGTCACGTATGGTCCTTTTTACCAGCTTAGCTATAAAGCGATCTACTTTAATAGCAACTATGTAATATATACCAATTCATCCTCAAAGAAAAAGAGCACAAGGTCAACCTTGGATTCCAACTGTTCCGGAAATTCAGAGAAAACAAAAGAACTTAAAGACTACGCTGATGTGTCTTCATCTGGAACTAAAAATGTTATTACTTACAAGACAAGTAGATGGCCTCTTTGGAGGTCTACCTCGCCGCCTGCTTGCAGGACTGAATATAAATGTGGGTGGGTCATCAGGAAAGAAGTAGGAGAAATTTTGTTCTGCTAGATTATATTTTGCAATTGATGTTGCCTTAGTAAGAAAGATGAAAACAGATATTCATTGTGAAATTCTTACCTTTTCATAAATATAAGCTTTTCATTCATAAAATGAATCATTAATTCACAAAAAAAAGGCAATAAAAGTAACTAGATTCACAACTGGTTAGCTTAGGGTAAGTAAAACTCTGGAATAGCGTAACTGTAGAGTTAATCCACCAAGTGGATAATAATGTAAGTGGCACACATTTGAAAACAGAATTTGGCCTCATTTGATAAGATTTTATTTCTTTAGATGCCTTTTAGCAAACACAGCTGGACACAGTCTTCCTAGCAAGTTACTGAAATGCATTGAAACATTTGACAGAGATTCAACTTTTGACAGAGAAAGCTGGAAAATTAATTTACTGAAGAATCACATAATTTTCCATCATACTTAAAACATTTCTGGAGGAGGAGAAAACTTATGACTTCTCTCATTCTCAGTTGTCAAAGTTTCTTTGCAAGTCTGCTTTCTCAACCTGGTGACTTCAGGAAGCCTGCCCTTATCAAGTGATACAGATGAGGATACAAAGGAGACACTCCAAATGGGACATGTTCACGTAACTGCTGAAATGCAAGGCAATCAGCAAGGGAACAAGGAGTCACTCCACAAAAGCCCAGACAAAGAGAAGATGACAAATACACGCATATACAGAATATAACGATTTTCCTGAGGCACCAGAAAGCATCACTAAGAGATCACTAGACCCAGCACACTGTTTCATGTCAAGGACCACATGATTGCTAACAAACCCAAGGAAGGAGGTAGTTTATCTCTTTCAGCTCTATCTTCTTATACTTCCATTTCTTTAGAAGAGACAGACTTTAAAGTTACAAACTTATTCAGAAATTAGTCGCCTTGTTATTTTCCGTAACTTTCAGAGGCAAGACTCTCATTGATGCCCTCATCTCAGAGCTTTCCTGTGCAGAACGAGCAGTTACACAGCTGTATGAGGATTCTTCTTAAACACACACACACAAAATACAAGATGTAATAAACAAAGACGCTACTTTCTAAAAAACAAGATGAACATAAGAAGGATTTCAGGGTCAAGGCTGCAATACACAGTGAGAGTCCAGGATCTCCCGCAGCACAGCAAGCAAGGCAAGGGAAATTGCTGGCTATTTGCTAAGTTTGGAACAGCTGCTTAATTCCTTGATCACAATGGAACAGAAATTCTCAGAGTCATCCTCCGCAGACTGAGATGTGAACTTTAGCCTGAACTTGTACTAAGTATCACCATATACCTCTGCATAAGATATGCATCTTAACATCTTCAACATCTAAGGCCTTGTCAAAAGCCTCTTCCAGCCACCTGAACTCTTTGGTACTTCTGTCTCACTGAAGAACTGGAGACTGAATTCAATCTACAATAAAATACTTTCCAGCCAAAAGCACTGCAACAGAATAATATTAGCTTATTGTATCAAAACAGAAGTAGTTAATTTTTATTTGACTTAGAAATACCAGCTGCATACCTTGAAGAATGAAAACAATTCATGCGTTAGACTAAGCAAAAAATATATTATGTTTTAATAAATAACATTTTTCTAGATAAAAGCTCCCATTTTTAATTTTGGGGACTTTTCTAAACTGGCAGCTAAAGACTACATTAGAGAATTAAATTCTGCTTCATATACAGAAAAATGTACCATCTTGTTTACAAGCAAAAGTTAACAAAAACCTGTTTTTACCAAAAAAGTTGCAGTATTTATCCTTTTATTTTGGAAAAGTCAAACACTAAACTCAATATATTATACTTTCAAAAAGCTAAATGATGTAGTTTAAAAAAGAAGCTCAGAGCAGCTAGTAGAGGGGAAAAAAAAAAAAAAAAGACTGAGGATGGTCAATATTCCATCCTACAAATTATTCCTTCTTATTTACCTTAGTTTTAATGACTCCATCATGTGGTTCACAGTGTTGTTTCAGAAAAAGTTTAAGTCTATCACGAGAAAAGAGATGTTTCCTCCGGCTGTATTAGGAAAGAAAGGTAGCATTATCAACTAACATCTTTAATTATTAAGTACAGCTGACAAGATATGTGCAAGAACACATGTAACATCATATGACTGACCTTTTTCTCATTTTCTTAATTATAAATTACGCCCTTACTATTGTAACTAACAGCTGTTCTTTGCAACCTCAATTCAGCTAAAAATTTCCTTATGAACAAAGCAAAACCCAAGTAGTACTTAAACAGTTGTTTTATGCATCTGTAATTTTTGTTTTGAAGATCCTGGTATGTCCTCTTTTATACACACATAAAAACTCCACAGCCTATTCATCCCCACTAGATCCTCCAGACATTCCTTTCTATCACAGTAGCTTTTACAATCCCCAAATAAGACTTAAGTCCAATTGTTTCAGAAGGGGGTGAAAACAAACAAGCAAACAAGGACAGCAGGAAAGCAGCATTCACATCTCTCAGACGGGGAGGTAAGGCACAGAAGTCTCAAGCCAAGAAGCGAGAGCGGTGAATTCACGCGCTGCTTGGTCAGGCTGTGGCACTCCTTGCTACAGGACAGTGGGCACTCTAAATGCTTCCTGGCATCCCAGGGAACCCGCGCTACTTCATGGGAAGGAGAAAACCAACTACACAGGAGTAGTTAATGAAAAAAATAATCTCAGTTCTTACTGGAAATAAGTGTCTTGAAATCACTGAAGTTTTTTCTTCAAACTATCCAGCTTATAAAGTTTTGACGCACAATCTACTCTAAAAAAAATGTTTTAACTAAATTCAAGACACAATTACATTAAGAAGCAAAAACTCTTTGCAGTTTTCTATTTTAAAGCAGTAAAGCAGTCTGATTGCCAGTGTCTGCTCCAACATTTCAAACCATTAACGCTACCACACAGAGAGCGCGCTCACAATGTCAGTAGTTCATCAATATTATAGCACAGGGTTCTCAAACTTTTTTTCACCTGCTCCATCAGTCACAGCAGTTGGCACAGGTATCCGAAGCAACAGCAGGTCTTGTCTGTGTGCCAACAGAAGCACAGAGACTTGTAAGGAGCTGGTATCTGTGTTAATACTGGTAAAGCTTGGAACCCTTGCTACAGAAAGCCTGTGAAACACAGTATTTTGTTCCAGTTCCTCTAATTAGTAGTTCTAACATATTATTTTAAAATGCCATTTTATTTCAAAAACATCTTACAGTGACTGACACAACTGACAGTTATAAAGTACAATTTTAACTTTCACATACTAATTTTTACCTTAGTTGAGATGCTTTCACGATAACAGCTTCATATAGTTCTTTTTTAATAGGTTGGACTTTGTATTTGAACAAAGAAGGATCGATTATGGCTTTCTTCTCCCTAAAAAAAGTTTTTAGAAAGTTAACAATCACAAAACATCAGTCTTATAAACATACTAAACGTGTACAATATATGCATACACAGTGGACCTCTTGGTTTTCTTAGAGGGGAGATGGGACGTGAGAAGGGAAGGAAGAACAAAGAGGGAGACAAGTAATGACACATCCCTATCCCTCAGAAAATCGTCTCCTTAATACTCTCAGTACTTGTGATGGCAACAGGAAGGCAGGAAAAAGGACAAAAACATGATGAGGAAGGAGTCCAAAAGACAGAGTTAAATAAAATGAATAAAAATAGTAGCCATAGAGCTACGGATCACATCTCAAAGTAAATTAAAAAAAAGGGTAGAATATTTTTCTCAAATACCAATTTAGAACAAACATCCTCACCAACAACATTCTGAAAATAACAGGAATGCTTATGGAGTTCCATTGGGTTTTTTCCCCAAAGTATACTTCCCTTTTACAGCTATCAGCTACAGAGAACTAGATTTTTTTCCTCCACGGAAAAATATTTCTTCAGTTTTAACATAACAGTAACTGTTTTCTTATACCTCTTCATAGGAGAATAACCACCCAGGTCTGGTGTGCTACCAAAACAAAATTCACTCCTTCAAAAAATGAAGAGAGCAGTTTTACCATAGACAATATACTTCAAATAGTATGGTATATTTATGGACAGACTTCATGACCAGAGTTAAACTACTGAGATTGTTTAAACAATGTTGCATTTTGCTATTAAACAACAGAACTAACTTCTCCTAGGGTGGTAATTTGTAATCAGAAGTCATATTGCTTTATCAGGAAGAATTCAAACGTCATTTCATCAGTAAGGGAAGGAGTTATGTGGATGGACTAGGAGATTTACAGCTATGCATTTAGTCATCATTGTTGGTCCTTCTGGCATTTGCAAAATGTGTGAAGGTGGAGTCTGTGACGAAACAAAATAAATCAATATACCATTTGCTATTCTTTACCCCCATGAAGAACACACACAAGATGTTATGAACTGTACTTTGCCAGGTTGTTGAACATGAAATTTGCTCCAATTCTTATTTCCCCCCTGACTAACTCTATGGAATAGAAGTCCAAAGAAATGCAACATTCAGATGCCTAACAATAAATACATTAATTCATACAAATTAAGTGTAAAAGAAACAGTACTTATCCACAGTTAGTGTTATTTTAGATGCAAATAATTTGCAAATCTCTGGAGAAAAATAGTTTATGATGATTAAATGATCAACATAGTTAAAAACAAATGAAGGGACAGAAAAGCAGATTTAGACTTGGAAACAGCAACACATCTACTGGACCTACAGATAAGCACTATGATATCCACTGTCTGCCTTGCACGATGCTATGGAAGTTAAAGTCTCAAGCTGAGTCACTCAGACCAACTCCAATTTAAGAAAAATAATTTTAAAACCCCACCGAGCTTGTCATATTAGCAAAACAGATATCAACTGTATAAACAAAGTAATTCAGTATACCCACTGGCAAGATTTTAACATCTCTACCTATAATTTAAGTTTGTTAAAAGAGGCTTCATATTTTGGTCATACTGTGACTTGGTCTTCCATGATCATCTTCAGTCTCAAGATAGGAAAGCTAAAGTAATGAAGGCTGTCACTAGGAATTTTAGTAATTTCTGGATAGTATTCAAATACAAACTGGCTTCCTCACCATACACTCCTGCATTTCCCATCCTTTAGTCTAACAAGCTAAAGAAGGACCCAAACAGATAATGTGCAGATACAAAATAAAAGACAGAGTGCCAATGTTATACTAGAAGTATATTAACTTATTTATACAGTTTGAATAGATTCTCAGCTCTCATACTGTCTGTAATCAAAAGCAGGGCCCAAAGAATAATCAAATGGTTAACTCTTGTATCGTAAGCCTTTACTTTTTAGTTTGAGTAAATCCTACTCTCACCTTCAGTGGATCATATACAATAGTCCCAACCCAATTTCCAAACACACTAAGTTTTTTCTGCTTAGTTTCCGAGTTTCCAATTATTATCTTAAGAAGTTTACATATTCCCAAAATCCTCCTCCATAAATCCAAATTTAAAGTAAAAATTTTGCTTAGTGCAGAAAAGGAAGAAAAAGGTCATTCAGTACACAGAGAAAGCTTTAAAAATCACGTATATTATCTAGTCACTTTGGCATAAGTCATTATTTTTTTGTTATCTTTTACTTTATAAAGCATTATATAAAGCACGTAAGAGTTAGCAAAGATTAGACTGATTTCTCAGCAGAGATCCCCTACAGCAAGTCTTCACAGGACAGCTCTGACAGACCACCAGATCCAGAGGAAAGAATAACAGAATATCTTGTAACTTAGTAGGTGAAAACTGGAACTGACTCACCCAACATTATACTAGTTTCTACTGCACTCAAGTAAACGTGCCTAGCACCTGGCAGAGTCGTGCATTTTTTGAATGAGCTTATTCTGAACCATCAACAGGTAAAAATCTCATCAGCCTTTCAATTACTTTGGCACAGTGACCACATGACCTGGATATAGATTTCTGCTTACAGTCCCGCTGTATTATATTCAGACAGCATGGTCTTAAGGTAGCTTTACCAAGAAACTTTTGAGACCTTGTCCTTCTGAGTTACCTTGTCCAGGACATGACTATCTATATTACCCGGTCTGAGTCTTGCTGGAGCTACCTCTATCTTGTGGTATTAACAGAACTAGAAAAATTGCACAGAAAAATACTGAGGGTTAGAGGATCAGGAATGCATGTAAAATGAATGCTGTCCTCCTTTTCCAGAAAGAGGCAATGGCTTTTCTTCTTCTCTTTGACTAAGTTTGGGAATGGGAAAAGCTCCCTTGAAGAATGCTTGCTAAGTAACACATTTACGGTCTCCTTACGCTCCAGTGCGAGCCTTACACAGAGGTAATCTGTCAGTATATCGATCCTGACAGAAAAGCTGGCCTCTGCACACCTTTGAAGGTTGCTGCTGCCAAGCTACTTTATACCAAGCAATTACAACTGCCCATTTGGAACTGCAAGTATTTTCTGGAATCTCACTAAAACATCAACATGGAAATACAGCAACCTGAAGACTGATAACAGCATGCTGGTTATACCACTCTAGGGACAAGACAACAGCACTTTGCAACAAAATCCTGACTTTGAACCTTTTGATGAAGATTTTAAGGTGCCTTTGATCCAGTACTTGGGTCTTTCCTTACAATACAAAGTGGACAAAGACCTACCATCATTATTATTAGATTCAGGGGATGGAGGGATGAGAGAGGAAGAAAGGAAAGAGGAAAGGTAAGAATAAGATGAGGAAACATTTGTTCTACTGAAGACATTACATAGCTTTAATGACAAGCTTTTTGAAATATCTTGTTCATAATTTCTTCTCCAAATAGAGGCAGAAATCTAGGTTGAAGGTGGTAAAAACATCTGGATGGTAAGGCTCCACTGGCATTATTTCCAAAAATGGAAGCATTGCCTCTGCTTGCATCCCAAAATTTGCAGAAACAATTAACCCTTCCCCAAAATAAAGATGGTACTTCACTTCAAATTGAACACCCAAATTTACTGCCACGAACCAGCCAGCAAGCCAAGAAGAAATTTTTCTTCTAGTATTTCTGATGCAGTTGATGGTTCACATTACTTGTAGTCCTGGCAGGAGGAATGCCCTGAATTAAGCTGCAGCTAGTATTGTATATATTGGGCAGTACAAGCCCCTCAATCTCCAGTCTGCTGCCAAGCGCTAAAGCAAATGCGAGAGTTCAGCCTTACCCCTAAGTCTAGCAGTTTAAGGTATGAACGCTGCTATTCTACGATGACCGCTATCCTACAGTACCAGAGGGTCCCAGGGCATAGCATCAACATTTTAAGATCTAAGAAGATTGCTACCTTTTGCTTCACAAGCCAGGCTTTACAAGGCAGCCTGTTTTTCTGAGGGAGTGCAGGAGTGAGAGCATCTTGGCCTCTTTCTCCGTGTACAACCTCAGCTTTTACTGCAGAACACAATAAAAAAGGTCAGCAGGAACACTTGTACAGAACGCATGGCTATTTCTGCCCCACGCAGACCGAAGCGGGGTCAGAGAAAGGTTGGGATCTCTAATGACATCTATTTTCAGTTAAGATTCTCTAGCCTTACAGATTCTTTGGGAAAAATATTTGCAGATGGCCCATCAATCTGTGCTGTGCTCCCCTCCCCCTCTCTCACAAACACACCGAGCATCTGCTGCACCATTGTTTAATGGCACTGCAGTTTTGCACGAAGGCTGGGTCTCAAAACCTGGAGATTTGCGTGCAGGCAGAGGCAGAACTCTGGTTCTGTGCGTACCAGCTTGACACTGGTCTCAGGGTGACTAACATCCATGTTCTCCACATCCCAGTTTCTCCATAAACAGCAAAATACAGTGCCTGAAGGATTAGGGCTGCAAAACGATGTCATTCAGTTCAGTGGGATTTCTTATTGTTATGAGTAAGGGTATAAAGAATCTTACTTACATACAAAAATTGGCAACAATGCTCTACTTTCAGATAGGCTTACAGGTACAGCAAATAATACTTTCCAAGTCTGCATATACCCAGAATATATCCAGAAACTAACTGGAGTGTTACTACACTCTTGCATTTGTTATAAAAAGACTCGCTTAAAACTTCCAGTAAGAATTTTAAAGCCGTAAGAGGTTTGCCATTTAAGCTTGTAGCATAAATGTTAGTTAGGTATGCCACAGAACAGTGCTTCAAAAATTTGTATATTCTCACAAGATTTCCCTTTCCAAGAGAAAGAAATTATTTTCCCTCCCTTCTCTGCATTGTCAGAATAAGTAATCAGCTGGGGAGAACCACAGACTGATCAGGAGTGTAAGACTCAGTCTTGGTACCAGCTCTGCATGTATGGAAGTGACAACAATATAAAGGGATCAATCCCACAGTCAGCTCTGTGCACGCTTGCATTATTCCAAGAATAACCTCCTTTCAAATGCCATATGCCTTGTGGAACACAGCAAATGCATTTATTTTCTCAAAGATGTAGGACCTTTTCATGAACAACTTGGACACTGCCTTCAAGAGACAGCAGAGAATTTTGAAATTATTTATCCCATGTTATTTTCTTAGCCAAGTGAGGAGCCCCACCCTAGTTATTCAAGGCATGTCATGACATGGAAGTCCTCATGCAGCAATTGGTGAGAGTAACTTCTGCATCTACGCGACATCTCAAAGTCAATGACAGGTCATGTAAAGCCTGTATGTCTGTATGTTGCTAGATACAAGACCGGGGCCCACTTCAAACCCTCTTCTTTCATCAACATGGTGCTTGTGAAGCCAGAAATCTTTCTTCTCATTATACTGCTAGGATAAGCTGCATATCTAAGCTCAATTACCAGTCAGTAAAGCGATACTCCAAATTAAACACCACAATTATAGCCAAGAAGCTCTCCTATTCAATGTTATTAAGCTACTCCAGCCTGTAGGCAGCTCCTTGAGACAAGGCACACACTGCTTCACTGCACCTAAAATCATAATCAAATCCATGAAATACAATGGTATGTATTTATATGGACACATGCACAATGAAGAAAGCTTTGTACGTTTTTATATTTTGGACATAAACACATTAAGTCTCTGGAAAGACTTTTCAGAGAGTTCCAGTAAGAGCACATCCTCTTATTGTAAGGCAACTCTGAGCCCCATGATGGAAGTGAAGCAATAAATCACGCTAAGTAGTACCAGACTGTAGAGATGCAAACATGACTGCATTTTCCAAGCTATAGCAGCACAGGTTCTGCAGCACAGAGAGGACTAGAGAGAGGCATTCATGGCTCTTCCACCATCTCTCAACAGAAACACTGTCATTCCAAACAGATTAACAATGATTATTCTGCAATTCCATTTCTCATAATGCAGTTCTTTGGTGGATTACACATAGCATAATTGACACCAGTCAATATTCAGTTTGTCACCTTCAGCTGGCTGAACACTCACGATCCATACAGACCAAATAATTTGTTTTGGTCAGATCCTGCCACATCTGCTTTAGTCTCATTTCTACCCAGCCCAAATGCTTTATACTGTAGAAGTATCATTTACCCATTTTGTGCAGAGCTATTGTGCGTTTCTGAGTCATCACTGTCGCTGATGACAATTGTGTCTCCGTCAGTGCTGCTAGCGTGGCCGTTCGCCATTCCATTGTGATGGGCTGGAGCTACAACTTCCAAAATCTTACACTGCAACCTGAAATAAAACACAGACATTTATTACTATCGAAGTCTTTCACTAGCGCAAGGAGTCTAAAGTTGTAGCAGATATTATTTTAAGAATACATATATAACTGAACATAGTATTGTGTACTAAATACGTAAATGCCTAAGAGCCTTGCACTGAAATACTAGGTAAAATATTAATTTCATGAGTTCCATCTAATAAATGAACAAATTCATCTGCTTACACAGCTATCAGCTTCACCACTCAGGACAACATATCAAGTCACTGGTAAAATTATTTCGGGTTGTGAATTTTTTTTTTTTTCAGTTCTCACTTAAGTAAACTAAAAGTTAACTTAATGTGTTATTTTAAAACTAGACACCAAAGCTTCGACATTTATTTTGCTAGCAGTCTAAGAAAAGCAAAAGATTTTCAGAGCCCAAAGTCTTTGTACTTATAAGAGATCATCTACTGCTGTTGATGACCTAAATAAACAAGGCTGAAATGATCATTATGCATCTAATCTTAATAATGGCCCATTTATCTGCTGACACATATTAAGGCTCCATCTGGCATGCACACAATTCACAAAACAAGTCTATCCCTTTGCCATCCTGAATGCTAGTTATAAAAAGCAGAATTAACTACATATTAAAAGTATAATTAATTGACACTTCATGCTGGGTAACTGTATTAATAGTTGGTCCTTAACCACTAACTTTCACCCCTTTCTAGAATTCCATGGTTCATATTTTTTAGTTTAATCTCCTAAAGCCTTGTCTGCTTCATGAAAATTAACTATTGCAGTCAATGGATGCTGTCACACACTACCACTAAAAGCTCAAAGGGTGGGGGGAAAAAGAACACATAATAATTCTCTTCTCTGGGCACCAAACACTGTCTCCTGAAATGTTATGAAACAGAGAATACATGAAGCACAGGGCTTGAATTAGCATGGCATCATGCCTAAGTTAAAAACAAACACACACCACCACCCCCCCAACAAATCTATGACAGACAAATTCTAAGTGTTCTTCTGTCTAAACTGAACACTAGCAAAAAGGAGACATGTGAAAATATTTCTTAAAGACCTTTTTCTGCAGGCAGATAGTACTATCTGCACACATTGAGGGGAAAAAAAATGAGGGGCGCAGAGGGAGAAAAGTTGAAAACATTAAAATATCCTAGGTTGTATTCGCTTGCGAATTTAGCTAGGACCAATGACACAATTACTGCCTGTAGCTGTCCTCCCCAAGCCTCTCCAACAGGGAGGGCACTCCAGGATGCTCCAACTGATGTGTTATTTAAAAAGATATAAAACTAATTTTAAAAAAACCCAACTTGTTAACATCCTTACATATTCCTAAAGACAACAATATGACCAATGCTTAGTTATCCACGGGGACACCAGAGCTGCCTGCATGCAGAGGCAGCCTGAGCCTGCTGGATTCACTGACCACAGGCACGCTGCTGTTCCATTGCAGCTGGTCCCATTTCCAAAGCTGGCTGGTATGGAGCTGGAAGACATGTTTTCCTGGTGAGTGGAGCTCAGGCTAATTAACTGTGCAAATCTAAATAGACTCCATGTAAAGAACCAAGAGCACCGAAGAATATAATGGAGACGGAGCCTAGTGGCCGTTCACAAAGTAAGTCCAAGTCCAACAAAACTTATTAAGGTCTGGCCCAGCACCAAACTCCAGCTGAGTCCTAAGAGAAAAGTCTATCATTACAGTATCTTGGTTTTCCAGTATTTGGAACATCACAGCCTCCCCTTCATACGAAATAATACGGAGCTGACTGCATGGCAGAATGTGTATTATTAGGCTGGGGTTTTAAATCTAACAGAGATAACCTGCTAAAAAAGTCTTCTTAGTAGAATTATTTGTGTTTCAGATTATAAAACATATTTCCTAGAGAGTTCAATTAAATTTTAAAAACACTTTTGAATTAATTTCTAATGGAAAATAACCAAAAGCACCAATGCTGTAGGTAGCCTTCATGAAAATTAACTTAAGGCAGTAGCCTTAATGCTACTAACACTTAATTTGTTTACTATTTGAAGACCACTAGAGGGAGCGCATATACACTAAATTTGCAGTCACAGTAAGACAGCCACATGAAAGCTAAATCGCAACCTATGCTACCCAATGCCATGAAAGGACAAAGAGGCTAAAACACACACACACACGAATCAATCCTCCTGGACAAAAAGACTTGAATATTTAGTTACCGAATGTTTTACCAACACTTAATTTACCTGCTTATCCATCGGACAGCCCTGTCATTTACAGGGTATCACATCTCCTTCTGTAAGAACGGAAATTATATATTCTATACACTCGATTCAGTGGAGTAGCAAAATCCCCTTTTTATTATTAAACAGGGAGAATGACTAATGCAGTAAGCTATCACAGAAAACACGTGATTCTCCATCCTTTATGCCTTCATTCAAATCATTACCAGAAATCTTTGGGGAAGGAATCAAGTGAAACACACATTACCTGGCTCAGTAAAAGCCTAATCCAGTGAAATTTAATGGTTACTGATAGACAGGAGATTAAAGAAAGTAATGCAACCGTTCCTTCTGGCATTAAAGAAATAGTAATCTATGAATTAAGACTTTCTTTTAGCCTTGCTACAGTCAAGTCATGGCTAGTAGCATCCAATTCCCTGGGCTAAGAGAGGGAAATACACTCTGCTTCTAGTGCGAACGAAGGTCTGCTCTTCTTAATAACCTAATCATTCCTTGAGTTCACTTAATTATAACTCTTATTTTACACCATAAGGCACATAAAACAGCAGAGCTGAAAGCTGAAGCAAGACATTCAAATGATGCATACTACTTGAAATAGTTTCTAAAAAGGATAGATACCTTAAGATCATCACAGAGCTTATGTCAAAGTCAAACCACGGTCACTATTTCCCATAAAATAAGAACTGGGGGCACCTCAATATAAAAAGACAGCAGCACCAAGTAAATAAATATGTACCCCAATATACTCCTCAGCGAGGAAGCACTTTCTTCAAATAATAATAAATATTGTGAAAAAGCTTACAGCCACACTAAGTGAATCCCAAAGGTATTCAGAAAAGGATCAGATAAATTGAGAAGAGCCATTTACACAATAGTCCCATCAACTGTAGCTCAGACACTGACAGCCAAAAGCTACAACAGTAAGCCTGCAAAAGGATTATGTTGTACTCAGTTTTGCATACCTCTTTCTGCACTGCAGGCTGCTATCAACAACAGGGTACAGGTCCTCTGACCTGTCCCAAGGATGGCCTTCATGCTCACACCTTTCTTCTTTGCTACGCTCAGAAACCAAGCCCCTCAAGGGCTCTTATGTTACGGGGAAAGGTTCCAAGAAGTGCTTGGTCTATATTATTAAATCTGGGTGGGTTTGTTTTTTGTTTGGTTTTTTTTTTTTTTTTAAAAGAAAGACCACCACCAGAGCCCAAAAGTTTTAAACACAAAGCCAGAGGAAGTATCACCAATGTAGTTTGGTTTTTTTTTTTTTAAATACCAGTGCACATTATCTTCTCTCTCAAATGAAAAAAGAGATCTTCCATTGACTTCCGTGAATTTTGGGTAGGGCTGGTCAGCTGCACAGGTGAAATAACATAACTGACTACAGCAATCTAAGGGCAAGAGACACTGATCGGACACTGTGGCACAGGACATGGTTTCTCCAGAAACCCAAGTCCATCAGCCTCTCTAGAGAATGATTCTGGGCTGTGCTTTGAAGAGCAGAACTTAACAGAACTAGCAGAAAACTTTAAGGTCAGACTGAACCTTGTCACTCCCAGAAGAATGGTAAGGAAGCAGCAGACTGAAGGTGTACGAGAGCAAAATGTGCCTGCAGCCTCAGGCTGCTGCTCCACGAGATGCAGAGGTGAGCTAACTAACAGTTCAACACCGCCAAAAGGGTGCCATTCCTCCTCCCCACCGCATACTTGGTGCGGTGCTTGCTTTTTGTAGCTCTGACGCTCAGTGTCATTTATTGATTGCCATTAAATTGAATTCAATTACCTGACACAAAAAACCCCAAACCAAAACAAGAAAACCCCTACCCCAACATGAAGAGCTGGGTAAGTTTGCGTCATATCAGCTGCTTCAAGAGGCTCACTGAAGGACTTGATGAGAGCTACAACATGCGCAAGAGGCAAATATTGGCCACAGACAAAAGCAGAGGAGGAACAAAAAGTAGTACGACCTCCCTCATTTAGAGGCCCTGAGACACTATAATTTCTTGAGTAGCTCAGTGATTTCAGTAGTTTATCCCTCCTAACTGGAAAGGGACATCAAGGCAAATGAACACTGGTACACTAGGAAAGTCTGTTCCAGCGAAACCACACACCTAACAAGGTAGTTGGGCAAGACATGGTACATGCTTCAGACTCTCCAGCAGTCCAAGATGAGAGTGATTCAGGAAAATCCAGAACAAAGGGTAAGTGTAACTTACTTGCCAAATTTCTCTTTCATTCAGCTCAGCAACTCAAAGGCATGTACACAAGCTACTACAAGAACACAATTTGAAGAAGAGAAAGAGAACCTGCACTCCACTATGTAATGGGCCAAAACCAGCCATCACAGGAGGTCAAGCGGAAACCTTGACACTGCAATTATCAGGACTTTCACTTACTCGGAGAAGTTCTTCCCAAATGCCGAGTAGGCCTTTACATCCAGCCAAAGCTGGAGTTACAAGCCGTGAGAGGAAAGACCACTTCTCGCTGCCTGTCAATTGAGCGTTCTGCACAACAGCTTTTCATCTGGCTGATGCTAACTACTGCAATAGAAATAATAGTCTGGCACTCTCCTATGTCCTCATTTCAAGTAAAAAAAACAAGATCCCTTGAAGGCCCAGGTAAGTTATAAACATGCCTCTTGTATGCTTTACAATAAACAGACAAATACCATCCCTTGGATGTAGAAGGTTCTTTCAAATGGGGCAGTGGGGGACTATTGCAATACTTTGTGGCCAACTTTTAACATAAAGAAAACAATGATCAGTGAGTCACAACCAAAATGA